ACGAAAGTGTTTACCTTTTAGAAAGACAGAAGATGCATATGCAACAACCAATAACCCACAAGGCAAATACCATTCAAGAATATATTAATCATAACTTAATAATACACTCAAAGCTAGATAGTGAACATATGCCTCTCAAATTTGGCAAAGCAAACAAAACCCATTTGATATTCAGTGAATGTTATCACAGTTCTACTTAGATGAATAGATCTATCTGTCTCATGAAGCATGCCATTGCATAGAAAGAATAGATAAAGATAGCACCACCATTCACCTTCCCTAGGAAATAGGAATCTTCAACAAGATTTATACACTTTTGATAAGAGAATCATGTAATCCATACTTAGCGTGTATGTCCTAAAAGGTTAATGAAATGGTAAATTAATTTCTAATGATTTCAAGAAAGAAGTGTAAAAGAGATCTTCCTTACTATATTGTTTTCTATTCCAAATTTCAAATACACATTAACAAAAAAAAAAAAGACAAATATGTAACCTCTGCTCATTGAGAATCAAACTGTTCATTTTCCTATGTTGATGTTTTTTCGATTCAGAGTAGCATTTTTATTGTCAAAAATGTACTTTTTGACTGAATAACAATTTTACGTTCATCCCAAAAAAAAAATGTAATTATATGTAATTATAGATTTCATTGGTGACTAAGAAATTGACCAATTACTAACTTTTATTATTATCTGTTTTTCTTCCAAGAAGTTTGTTAAGAAGGAATTGGTTCTTCATTGCAACATAAAACAGCTTTAGCTATGAGTTTCCCAATCCAAGCATGATAGAGTAATCCAAGCATGATCCGAGCCCTCCAAAGAACCAGAATTTCGAAGACTCGCTTGCCGCACCTACGAGCTGATCTATACATCCCAAGAGTGGTAGTGAGCCATGGCTAGTGACCGGTGGCATTGGCATTGCTCTCAAACCCGCCCTTGCTTCCGCAAAATCCCACTTCTCTATGTTTGGATACACTACACTAGACTTTGGAAGAAGCTCGTGTAGAGCTCTTGAAGCTTCCTCGTCTGAGACATCCGATGAATAATTTCTTGATTGCCATTCCCATGTGGATCCCATGTGAAGATTACGCGGTCCGTGAACTGCCAACCATGCTTCTGACAAGATCAAAGGTCCACCGTTTGCAGTAGAGAGTTCAACTAACCAGGAAAAATCCTCTATATATTAATTGAGCACACTAAAAAGAAAATCTTATGTGTTGTTCAAAGAACAATTTAAGGGATACCTCATTTAAATTAACCAATCAGAATATTTCATTTGAAACTATATGCCATGGTCGAAATTTTTACATATTCTTATTATTTTTTTTAACATAAGCACATTAATACATTTAAAAAATATATAATCCAACTATATGTAATTTTAGACTTACCATATCATCTGTTTTTTATGCATTAGCAAGTATTCATTATCATATTTATAACAATATTATCTATTTTGTATATATTGTGTTTATTGTATTTAGATTATTACACTATATAAATAACTTTATTATTATGTAGTCTACATATATCTATATATTTCATTATTAGAAAACATATATTATTTTTGATTGTTATATCCAATAAATTCATATAAATCTAAACCTTATCATATTTATTGTATCCTCTATAATTTATATGAATAATAAAAATCAATTTTACACTTAAATATTTGCATATGGTTTGATTAATTTTACACATAAAAATATTTAAACTAATTGCATTAACATATATTTGATCAAAAGTATTAAATTTTATTATATTTATGTACAATACATATCATTTTTGTATGT